TCTGTATTTGTATAACAAATTTAAGCCTAAAACAGACAAGTTTGGCCTCATATTTATTTTTTGAAAATTTTACGCAAATCACATAAGGTTAAGAGAACTAATTATATTATATCCTTACTTTTTTTCAAATTACAAAAATCTCTTAAATTTGGTGGAATTCGGAGACATCCCACAACATTCTGATACATCGTGTCCCGATTTTGAATACATCATTTAATGTCTCGATACATCGCGTCTTAATTTCGGATACATCACTTAAGGTCCTGATACATCGCGTCTTAGTTTCGGATACATCACTTGACGTCCTGATACATCGCGTAAAGTGATGTATCTAAGCTAGCGTTTGGCCATAGATTTTCAAATATATTTGGCAAATATTATTTGGGTGAAGATTTGGGTGAAATTTCACCATGTGTTTAGCCATAGTATTTGGGAAATATATTTCAATTTTTTAAGAAATATGACTTATGCCCATAAGTTTTTAAAACTATCAAAACTAACCATAAATTTGTATTACATAGCAAAATAGAAATATCGCGTAACAAGATTCATGACTTCCGCAACAAATCAAAAAGCATCATTACAGTAAATAGTCGCATCGTTAAAAAAGATTAGTACAAATCATGATAATGAAAATACAACTAATATGAATTTGAAAAAGAAGAAGAAAACAGAAGGAAATAAATATTGCAATGTATGCTCTTGTACATGTATGCTCTTTATAATAGAAAAATTTATTAATTGAGTTAGTTAGCAAATGGAGATTTGATTGAGTTGGTTGGTGTTAATAAATAAAGTGTTTTTGTAAAAGATAAAAGTTTGGTGTTAAATTTGAATTTTTAAAACTTTCCAAATAATGAGATTTGGCCCAAATACTAGAAAAAACTAGTATTTGGGAATTTGGGTTATTTGCCAAAAAAATTTGCCAAAAAATGAGAAAGTGTATGGACAAACAATATTTGTCAAATTTTTTCCCAAGTTTTACTTGGGAAATCTATGGCCAAACGGGCCCTAAGAATAGGAGAGTAGGAATTTTTGTAACTTTTTTAAATGGTAGAAAATTTTAGATAATATGGCAAAATAATTTGTGTATTTATGTAATTTTCCATAGAAAAAAGAATCCTCTCTTAATTAAAACCCAACCTTTTAATGCAAGTATTCAATAATCAAGAAAATAATTTAAGTGTAAGAAGGTAACGTTGGTATATAAAATAGAAAAAGAAATTATCAAACAAAGACAAAATTGATAGGTGCCTAAAAAAAGCGTGTTCAAACAAATTCATTGCTCAAAGTAATCATCATAATTTGACTATTTTAATAACTTAATATAATTGTAAGTTTGTAACCCATCAATATTTTCTTTTAACGAATTGTAGTGTAAAGTCGTAGATTTGGCTTCTTCTTGAAAATGAAACAATTTATGTAAAAAATAAGCTTTTTTTAAAAATAAAATAAAATTAATTCCATTGTTTATTGTTTTCTGACTTTTGGATCCGTCATTGTTGCTAGTCAGTAGGTCCAGCACGAAACATTGTCCCTTTGAAATTAATGATATTTTAACCTATTTTAAAAGGTATCTTATACTAGTAAGTAGTGGATGAATCTTTTATGTACATATTTTTCAAAAGAAAGAAAAATAAAATTCATATATGATAAAATAAATATAATTATTTTTATTAAACACTTTTAAATTAAATATAATTTTTTGAATTGAGCATCTAAATATATGATAAAATATTTTTATTAAACACGCATAGGGGAGGAGATCACAAGTGGAGAATCGAACCTCACCAACTAAGCTATTAAAGATTGCTCAAACATTTTCTTTTTTTTAACCCCTCTCTAGGAGTAATTCCCACCTTTTTGTTTCCTCGATAACTCGAATCCACAACCTTAGGAATGAAGGTCGATGTGTTTACCATCTGAGTAGACCATAGTTTCAAGTAAATGTTACATAAATAAATTGACTATTTAAAATATGTTACTTCCTTTAATTATACGCATTGATCTCAATGAATCATAAAACCTCAAATTTGTTTTAAATGAGATTGATATATATATATATATATATATATATAAAAGGAGATGACATATTTTATGTATGATTAACTTAACTATCTAATATATACTTGAGAACACATACAAAAATATTTTCAAAATTTGAATCGAAAATATCATATAAAAACACTTTATGTGTTTTGTCCTTAATAGGAAGAAATTACAGTTCAAACGTTTAAACGAAATTAGACGCACAAATACAAGCCGTAGCATGGGTCGCTTTAACTACAACGTGTCAGCATGTATCTTTCAATAAAATAGTAATTTGGTATAATCTTGTTTCCTTTTTATTTTATTTTAATTTAATTTAATGTCATGTGGGATCTTCATAGTATTATCACTCTCCTATTGTGGCCCAACACAAATTGTAAAGACATAATACATAAATATGATCCTTAATTTGGCTTCAACGGATAACTATGTCTTCCAACTTTGAGCAGTGACAGATTCAGGATTTTACGGCTATGGGTGCTCATTATTTTTAACATAAATTTGTATCAATCAAAGAGCGTAGTTGCGAGCTAAAATCCTCAACAAGGGCACTTTTTCTTCAATTCAATGCAATAGCCAATCGGAATATTTGGATTGATTCAAGAAAAAAAGAAGGAGAAACAATGTACCTTCACATACAATCGTAATTACCAAAAAGGCAAACCAACAAGAGGGAGAATTTTTTTGCTTTTGAATTGGAACTAAAATGAAGGCGCTAGAACAAATTATTTTTCCTTCCCTTTTCATTTTTCCTAATTAGACTGATGAGAAAGAAAGAGTTAATAAACATAGAAGATCACGATTGTTTATATTTTCGGGAGACTAAGTTGCATAATAGACATGAGCAATGACCAATTCAAGATTTTAAGATCGTGGTTACTTTTTAAGTTATCAATCATAAAAAATAAATGTACAAATTTAATACTTGTCATAAGAAAGACAACTATATTTAATTATGATAGCGAAAAAAGATCAATAAAAAAAAGCTAGGATAATAATTATCTTGAAAAAGGAAAAAGGAATTTTGTACAAGATTTTGTTTTAAAAAAATTAGCAAAAAAGATAGTTTATGAAAGGAAAAAAAAACAGGGAGAAAAAAAGAGAGTAAAAATAACGTTAGAAAGAAGCTGGACAAGTCCATGTGGGTCCGCCCCTGACTTTGAATGTACACAAGTAGACACTTAAACTTATATAAAATTGAACAAGTAGACACACATGTCCTACATGACATAATACACGTAGGACACAAAATTACCATGTATATATTTGGTTAGAAGTATTATAGTTAATCCCGAAATTATTATCCCAGCATATATACTACAATAATTGAATAAATTATCTCATACATATGATGGGATAACTTTATCTATTCTATCATATACCATACTTATAAATTAACATATTTTGATTAGAAACATTTTAGTTAATCCCGAGATTATTATCCCATCATATATACTACAACAATCGAATAAATTATTTCATACATATAATGGGATGACTTTATCTATTCTATCATATACCATACTTATAAACTAACATATGAAAAATATATAAGACCAATATAATTGAATACTTTGCTTATAATTTTGAACGATTTTTCTTTTATTTATTTTGTTTTATTCTTCTTTTCAGTATTGTGCCCCTCTTGGTGGATGAGAAAACGTGTAAATAAAAAAGTACACAAAATTCAACATAGGGAAGGTCTAACATGCCTAAAATTTTATAGGAGAGTTTGCTTGGGTTGAGTAACAATGGAAGAGGAAAGTTAGGGAGAAGATGCTAATATAGATAAAAACACATAATTAAGTGACACAACTGCATGAAATAATATATACTACCTCTAACTAATAATACTTGTTATGTTTTATTTTTTAGAGTTAAACTATATTAATTTTGATCAGTTTTAAGGTATATTTTATCGACAATCCAAAGTCATATAAAAAAATTACGATTTATAATATAACTTTTCATTATTAAATTAAATTTTAAAAATCATTTAAATTGACTATATGTATATATTTGTAAACACATGATTAGTTCAATAAAGTCTTTGATATAAGTAGTTACGTATTAATATAGAGTAGATTAAAATATATTCTGATTTCTGAACCATAGACTAGATCTGCAAATCCATTGGCTGATTGACGTTTCCAAGAATTCAAAGAATGGGACCACAATGTTTTAATTGCTATGATCTAGATAAAGAAAATATTTTTTTAAAATCTGAAAAAAGATGGGGGAAAGTGGGTGAAGCTATCTTTCAATAATTTTTAATTTAATTAACTGAATTATAAATGAATTCTTACGTAATTTATTAACTTGATGTAAATACATATGAGTAATTTTTGTCATATTTTATTTTTTGATATCTTAGATCATATCTCGGGTGAGTCAATAGGGTTGTTTATTGCAATTGGACAAAAATCAATGGGTAAAAATTTAGAGACTTAACTTTAAACTTGACATATATTATTAATTTCGTCTCAAATTATAGATATTCATCTACTTAATTAACTAAATTTAAATATATTTTCAATCATAAACTAAACAAATATTATAACTTATTAATTTGTTATAATTGAATGATTTAATAAATTATATAATACTATATTATATATTTTTCAAAAGTATAGCAACATATTCGTTGTTCAAGAAGAATAGAATAGGACGTACATACGCATAGATCTATGAAATAGAAAAAACTGTTTTTAATTGAGCTTCCACTTTGCAGAACATGATTTCAGTACTGTATTTCAAAAGTGATGATTCTATATTTGATGATGTGGTCTCACTATATTTCAAAAGTGAGATTTTTTACAAAAGCAAAATAAAATAAAAATATTACCACATTCTGAATTTAACTATTTTTATCCACCAATCAAAATTTGAAAAAAAAAAACTGCAAAAAAGAAGAAGAAGAAGAAGAAGAACCTCTGGCATGGCAATAATGCTTACGATTCAAAATACTGATCTCTGCGAGACTTCAATCTCTTCAATACTCTATCAATGGTGATATCAAATGCATCTTTAACACTCCCTAAATCTTTACCTGGCGTTGCGTAAACAAATTTAGGAAGAAGATTAATCAACGTCTCTCTCATTTCCTTCACCTTATCTTTATGAATCCCTTGCAAAACTTGCAGAATCAAACTCCCATTTGTATCTCTCACATTATCATGATCGATGAACACTGTATAACTCTCCGCCATCCATGGCAGATGCCATTCATACTGACCTTTAAATGTTCCTCTCCAGAAATAAACCGGGATTGAACCAGCTAACATACAGTCAAAAGTAGACCGTCTAGTTAACCCATCTCCTCGAGGCTGTAAGCAGAAATCGGAATCTAGAAACGCTTCCATAATCGCCGGAGCTCCGTCGGAACACACGGTGGTGGCGCAGTCGACGGCGAGGCAGTTTTCTTCGGATTTACAGTAATCCATTAGTACTCCTCGGAAATCGTTTTTGATTTTCTCACGCTTAGCTCCGACGAAGGAGAAGAGCTTTGTACGGTCGTAGTTCCGGATGTAATTCTGCCATTGGACTATATCGGATTCAGATCTCGGGTGAAAAGCTGTTGGATAAGGTACGCTTTCTTCTAAATCGTCATTTTGATGCTTTTCTACTGATAAACGGAACACATTCTTCATCAATGGCATGTAAAGCAAACTCGATCCCCATTCCGAATCGTTAGCAGTTAATCGTCGGAAATCCCAAGTTAATCGGCCAAGCATAATGAAGTGATCTACTCCGTTAGCTCTAGTAAAAGTCGGCTGCTCTTTCAACCAATCGAGAACCATTTCACTTTTCCGATCTCGATCTTTCGCCGTATAATTAAACCACAAAAACTTCCCAATATCAAGTCCGGCGTAAAACGGAATATAAAACCCCGTTGCTTTTTCCGGATCCATAATCCTGCACTTATGACTCAACATTCTGTTATGATAAATAACCTCAGCAGCATACATGTCAGTCCAGTACCAAGCTGGAGTGATATCTTCCGGTACAACGCGTTCGAGCCCAGTAGCACTGGGCCCGAACCCACCGTTGGAAACCGCTTTACAGCGCGATTTCCACGGGTCTAGTTCCTCACATTTGTCAATAAACTCCGTGTTGAAAGTAGCAGGTAGGTCGTAGACGTAGACGTAACCGGATTGGCAGTCCGGGTTGAGTGCTACCAGCTGTTGGGAGTTGGACGGCGGTGGATGAGGCGGAGAGGAGCGGATGAGGAAGAAGAGGATTAAGATCTGGAGGAATATGGTAATAAGAAGCCATACACAGTGAGTTAAAGGGATTTGAGATTTGACGGTGTGGAAAGCGTGTTTGAGCTCAAAGGTTAGTTTGGATTTCTTAGAAGAATCATGATGATGTTCGTTACTGTTGCTGGATCTCTTCGAGAGATTCAGCTGCAGCATCGTTGTTTAACACTAAAAGAGACAATGAAAATGATAATCACAACGATGACAAATGTTATGAAACTGCGAAAGAGAGCAAGCTTAAGATTGGTGTTTCAAAGGAGCTAACAAGTAGTACGATTTGCTTATAACTAGCTACCTAGTTAGGTTTATTATTAAACCTGGAAAAAAAAAATGACTCAATGTTTCTCCTTTTGTGTCTGTGAGTCTGTGTGAATATTTTGAACGTATTTGACTGTTGTCATTTTATGGGTTTGAATTTCTAGAGGTAAACGTAAATTTTTACTGTAATTTTATTTTTTATATTGGAGTATTTTATTAAATATTTTAAATTATTAATATTTGATAATATAATTTATGAAATTTTCAAATACACAAATAAGAAATACCATATTGTAAATACTTTTTACTCCATTAAAACCATTTTAAATGATGTAGTTTGACTTAACACTAAAGAGTTTAAGAAAGAAAGAACGATTTTTTAAATTTATGGTTAAAACAATTAATGGATGTTTGTGTAACTATAAATCATTTCATTAAGATAAAATAAATATTATAAAATTAAATTATTACTAAATATAGAAATATGTCATTCTTTTTAAAGCTGAATAAGTAATTTGATCAAATAAGAAAATGCAGCTATCTAGATCAGCATATAGTACTAGTAAAACCAAAGCTCAACAAAAACAATATGCTCAGCGCAAAAGGGATATATACGTAAATCTTTGTTAACTTTATTTTTAGAACATAAAAAAGTTATTTCCGATGCTAAAAATTAGATTCAATAGTATTGAATTCAGAAATGATAACATTATTGTGGATGGTGCCTAAAGGTGATAATAACATTATACTATAGTTTCAATGGGTGACCTTTTTCCAGAAGGCATAAAGCAAGTGCAATAAGTTGGAAAATGACATTTGATTTTTGTAGAGACATCAAGATTATTGTTTAGTATTAAAACGCGGTTTAATTAGATGTATATTAGTAGCAATTGGACAAAATCTCTGAAAGACAGATAGGCAACCAGTAAATAGCTGTTTTTTTTCTTTTATAGTAATTAGTAAACCATATATTATCACATGGAATAGTAAATCTCATCTGCTTTTAAAGGGTTCAGATGAGCACATGCCTGGAGACAAACACAGTTTCACAATGCCTGTGTAATTACTGAAAGATATATTCATTTAATTGTTATATTTACTTCTTCTTTTTTGCCATTTTCTAGGAAGAAGGTAAACCCATCCCAACTCCTCTCTATTTTATTCTCTATTCTTTATATTTGAAGAGTAAAATAGAGAATATCTTCTCCAATTCCTCTCTATTTACCCCTTATGCTCTCCAATTATAGAGAGTTGAATAATATTTCTCCAAATTTAGAGAACTACTATTCATAATTTATATTTCACTTTTTGAATATTATACTATTATTTCTATTATTTTGTAATTAACATATTATTTTTCATATAAGGTCATTAATTAAATATTTAATATTCGAAATTCTTTTAAATGTTATATAACATTTTAAAAATATATTAATTAATATATGCTACTTTCATTCCGAATTAATAATATTTCAAGTATTTTTTAATTTTCATCACATTAAGTGATATAATTTGAAATTATTATTGATTTTCACTATGAAGAATTCTCACAATTTAAATGATAAGATGAAAAACTTAATATAAAAAAAGGATTTATATTATGAAATAAGGAAATAAAAATGAAATGAAAATAATAATATAATATTGAGGAAACAGAACAAGATTCATTTTGCGAGAGTAAGGACTTTGGGTCGAGATCCATGGGTGATGCCATTGTTAAAAGTGAAAAAAAAAAAGATACGAAAGTTGATACAGAACAAAAGAGAAAGTGCAGAAGGGTTTCTTCATCAATTTTTTTTTGCTTTCAGCAAATCAGATTGTTGACTTTTTTTCCGATTTTTGTTGTTCAATCTTTTTCTGATACATATGGGTTCATATCTTTCAATGTATCTAGTTAATTTTAATTTTTAAATTAATGTATAATTTGTTCGTTTCACCTTTATGGTACATTACAATTTTATCATGTACAATATATCGTTTTCAAATATTAGTTTTGATACATAACTCTAATTTATTGAAACACAAATTAGTATGTATCATGTTCATAGTTATGTATTGAATACACAAATATTACAAATTTCGTTATCTTTTACTACCAATACATACACCCAACCCTATTCAACTAGTAGAAGGCTATGTATAGGTAGACACTATCAAATATTACTGTTGATACATAAACACTAATGTTTTATAACAAAATCAGTTTGTATCATAATCATAGTTATGTATATGGCACCAGGGCCGGCTCTATGTATACTTTAAAAAGGCATTGGCCTTAGGCCCCCAATTTTTAGGGGGCCTCAATTTTTTACCAAAAATAAATTATGTGTTAATTTTTTTTATAGAAAAACATTGATTATTTACGATAAAAAGTATATATTTAAAATTATTATTTTATTCTCTTCAACCCCATTCAAATAGAAGAAATCAAGAACATATTGTTTTATTTTCTTACACTCTGTCTACTAATACTCACATTATTTTTTTTTTAACTCCTTTTACACTCTCTTCTTTAAATTGTTGATAAGTTAGAGTAATATTCTGTCAAAAATATCAATTAATAGTCGAAAAGTGTTGAACAAATTAAATTGTAAATTCTTTTTCCATTTCCTCTTAAATTTTCAAGCATTACAACAACCATAGTAAATTGTGGGGTAACCAAATTATCAACTTCATCAAAGCTATGGTTCTAACTCTTATATTTATTTGAAATTTGTCAACTTATTACTTGTAGAACTATGATAACAATTCATATAATGATTGCCCGAGTAAAATAATATTTTTCAACATTGAATAATAAAATCTTATTTAAAACTAATAATTGAAAAAGAAATCGAATAAATAATTTATATATAAAAAAGATATTAAGTAATACTTTGCATTTAAAAATGTAAGAAAAATAAATTTTAAATAAATGCATGTGAAGTTTATTTAGATTTTAGGCCTCTAATTAAGATTTTGCTTTAGGCCTCCGATTACGTTGAGCCGCCCCTGTATGGCACATAACTTTGTTATGTATACAACATAGTTATGTATCAGATGTTGTGATGTACCACATGTTGTTAAGTATCTGCAACACTGTTTTATCAATAAATTAGTGCATATCATATTCATAGTTTTTTTTTTGTATATGATACATAACTATATAAAATTGTCGATTTTTTTTTAATCTGTTACAATTTGTGAGAGATTTGAGAGAAGAAAATTTGAAATTTGAATTGTTTGGAGCTGTTATTTGGGAGAGATTGATATCAGTTTGATTTGCATGATTTGGGGAACTGACATTTTAAATTTTATATTTATTTCCTTTTTAATCTCAACAAACTAGTTGTATAATGTATCAAATGTGAAGAATAAGATGTATCCGGATGGCAACAATTTTAAGGGATTTTTGTAAATTGAAAAAGAGTAGGGATAAGATGTAATTTGCTCCTTACACTATGGGATTCCTAAAAATTATACTTTATTTCTATTATTTTGTAATTAACATATTATTTTTCATATAAGGTCATTAATTAAATATCTAATATTTGAAATTCTTTTAAATGTTATATAACATTTTAAAAATATATTAATTAATATATACTACTTTCATTCTGAATTAATAATATTTCAAGTATTTTTTAATTTTTATCACATTAAGTGATATAATTTGAAATTATTATTGATTTTCACTATGAAGAATTCTCACAATTTAAATGATAAGATGAAAAACTTAATATAAAAAAAAAGATTTATATTATGAAATAAGGAAAGAAAAATGAAATGAAAATAATAATATAATATTAAGGAAAGAGAACAAGATTCATTTTACGAGAGTAAAATAGATAATTTGATTGAAGTTGATTGTATGAAAAAATAGAAAACTCTATATTTGTAAAGTAAAATAGAAGGTAGAGTTGGAGATGCCCTAAATGGTATATATCATGTTGGCACATGAATGGACACAACTAAATTATACTTCCATTTTTTTTTCTTTGCCTAACAACTATCGAGTAAAAACTTAATGGTCAAAAGACATTCGATAAATTTGAAACGATACATTAAAAATTAGCATAATGATCTTTGCACAAGAATAAAAAAAAAGAGTAAAAACTTAATGCATAGAATTTTATATTTTCTTTAAGACTTTAAGACATATAATCAAGGTTAAAATAATAAAACGTTTTGTTATTTTCTAAAAGTGAATAGTTTTCTATCTAAACTAAATAAAAATAATCCCATATTTTGAAAGGAACCATTTGAGAGGAAGATATTGGAATGAACGGATGAGAAATATGAGTGGATTTCACGTCCTTAAATAGAGTGTAAATAATAATAATAATAATAATGGGGTCACCGCCTACGGCCTATACATTGAACCAACGAACCAATAAGCCTATGCATATTCGCAATGTGGCAATATTCCTCCACCACAAATTTCTTTAGATAGGGCCTCATCACAAATTGGGTCCTCTTCATTTATTCATCCCGTGACTTAGAATAATTATTGATTTTCTTTTTGGAAATTCAATTGTACACAGAATGAATCGTATTAGGAAAAGCAAGTTCTTGAGTTGCAATTTTGAGAGTAATAGAATGAAAATTTGATGTCCTTCATGGGAAGGAAAAAAGATATATTTATAATATAATTGTAGGTAACGTCTTGTGTGTATTTCACGCTTCTTAATTTGCATGTTAAAATTGTTACGTTCGTTTGTTGGGAGAGACTGTTGAATCCTCATAAAACGTTTATTTATTTCAAAGACTTGATAAACTTCACCTCCTGACTTATTGCTTTAAAGTCGTTTGTCGACCGATAGAAGCCGTCGCGGAGCTAAGAATTTCACATGTCCAGAAATAGCACAATAAAAGCTCTTTTAAAAAAGCTTTCATACTCCATAAAAGGTGATTTCAGG